GTTTTCCCTGAAGGGTCTCCTGGATCAGGGTGGGGGTCCCCACTGGGGTGTCTGGCCAGCCTAGGTAAGGGGATGATGGCTGTTTGCAGCTGGTCACACACCCTTCATGGTGGGGGTGCCCATTGGGGTACCTGGCCAGTCTGTGTGAGGGGCTGAGGGCTATTTTCAGGATGGCGGGCAATGGAAGCTCCCAACCGCTCCTTTTTCCTTTTTTTTCTTATTCTGAGCCAGCTTTAGCTCTGAGGCTCCAGCTCTTAGTCCTCCGCTGCTGAAAGTAGGTATCTGGTTTGTTTCGGTTCTATAATCAAAACAATGTATAACTCCAGTTCCGACTCCAGCTCTGAGATCCCCAGCTCGCTGAAAGCAGGTTTCTGGGGTTTTGTTTAGCTTCTATATTTGTTACATAGTTTCTTAAACTGCAAGCTCAGAGGCCCGGCAAGGCAGGCGGGGAACGTTGGAGCCCTCCATCACTGAAGCAAGCAAGCCTCATGTTAGTTTCAAGCTGCCTGGCTGCTGGTTGCCATCTTGGCTGGCAGTTAATTTGCATATCGCCCTGATTAGCCAATGGGAAGGGTAGTGGTCGTATGCCAATTACCATGTTTCTCTTTTATTAGATAGGATAATTGACACACAATGTTATAAAAATTTAAGGTGTACAACATGTTGATTTGATATATTTCAAAATGATGACTGTAGCATTAGCTAACTCCGCTTGCACAAGTTCCGGACCATCTGGTCTGCCTCCAGGTCTACAGGCTTCTCTTTTCTGTCCTTCCTGAGACCTCTGGTCTCCTAAGACCGCTCTTGATCTGGGGGTACGAGGATGTCCCAGGGTGGGAGGTTCTGGATCCCTGAAATTAGGCGGCTGACCTCTCCTTCCTCCCCCACACCCCAAACCTGAGGTTTTCTCATCTGACGAGACACCTTCCGGGGGATGGGGATATGTGTGGACAGATTGGCAGACTGGGGATCATGGAGGCTGAAGAAATCTACATAAACCAGACCAGTATGCAGGCAGCAGCCGTCAAAGACAAGCAACGGGGGACACCAGCCAATAGGAAAGGTTAGGCACCTTGGCATGGGGGGAGGGCGGGGGCGGGGGTCAAGAGGGAGAGGTTGGGATGGGAGAGGTAGGAGCTGAGAGTGGGGGTCAAAGGGCTTCTTCCCCTCCCCAAAAGGTGTGAGTGTATGTGTAACCCACCCTCTTCTCTTAACCAAGAAGCAAAGCTTAGTTAACTTTTATCCCCAGAAATGTGTGTGTGCAGGGGTTTGGTGAACCAAGGCTTCTGAGCCCCCCTCCCATCCCTACCCTGACCCCAGAGCTCCAGGAAGGTTTCCAAACCCTTCCCACTGACCCGCCCACAGGTGTAGATGACCCCAACTATGCAAATATCCCCGTGACCTTAAGAAAACAGGATCATCCAAAGGGCAGTCACTCACCCTCCAAGAGTGAGGGTAAGCGGCCCTGCCAGCCCACACCCCACAGCTTTGGGAGGGGCCTGTGGGAGGGCATTGCTGGGATGGTGGGCAGCATGGGAGGTCAGGATCAGTGGTGTGGGGTGTGGTGGCATCAAGGCTTGTGAGACAGTGGTGGGGTAGCTCTGTAGGTGGTGATGATGATGGCATGGTGCTGGTTGTGCAGGTGGAAGTATGGGTGAAGGTTTGGGTGATGTGATGGTGAATAGGTCACAGCTGCTAATGGCATTGGGAAGAGTGGGCGAGGTGACAGTGCTATTATGGTGTTAAAATCAGTACTAATAGCTGAACCCTGGAGGTCACCTGCTCTGCCTCTGTCCCGTCCCAGCCCGGTCCAGGCCATCCTCGGACTCTGCCCAGTATTTGCACAAAGCCTTCACAAGCCTGTACATTCTTCTCGCTCTGATTTCCATCATTCTGTTGGTCTGGGTTCTGGT